CTAGGATTACTGGCAGCTACGGAATACAGGTCAATTCAAATTAATTCGTTAATTAAAAGGATTTAAATGCAGTGCCATTTTTATTGCGCACTCTCATTTCTTGCTCACACCTTACTACTAATGGGGCTCAAGTGATCAAAGACTTTCAGCGACTTAAATCATTTTACATTGAGTACAATATTTTACCAAGCGGGTTCACTCGAGATCAAATTGTAACACCATCAAAATTAATTCAAACCGAATCGTTTCTTTATTCAGGTCTAATTATGAGTATCAAATGCAAATTATAATCTCAAATAAATTAATAACTTGTGACTAGGCGCAGATGATCAATGACGCTAATGAGATTGTTAGAAAACAATAGAATTAACAATTTTAGGTTGATCTAAAAAGAAGATTATCATATATCTGTTTTTAGCTGCATTTACTTGCATCTAGAGATTAATATTTCAACAACGTAAGAAAAGTATAATAATATTCAATTATTCCTATTCAGTTGATGACTGAAATCCAGGCATGCTACTGGGATGAAATCAACACTTCTGAACAGCTTTATATTTATGCATATAGGTACTGCGTGCAAAAAAACTCTCACTAGAAGTACTAACGTTAGAAGTATTTAGTAGAAAAATGTGCATTTCAAGTCTTGAATATTGTTCAATTCAGGCCATTTTGCCGGTCATTGTCTGTCCGAGACTGTCTGATTCGTACCACTTTATTGGTTTATTGAAAAGGAAAATATTACAATATTTAAATTTTTTCTTTCAGAAAAAAGGTTGAAAGCGATGGAAACTAAAAGATATTTCTTTCGGTGAACTAAAAAATATTATTCATTATTTTGCACGATTTCTTTATTTTATATTTTGAGATTGATCAATATGCATGAATATAAACAATAAAGGTAATTATTAATTTTTAATTATTTAGAAATTTTATTCATTACTTGAATTGTATCTCATAATTTTTGAGAAATGAAAGTAATTCAAATAGATGAGTTTATCAGGAATTCAGACAATTATCAACGTAAATATAATCTCAAGGAAAACATTCAACGATTTTAATTTTTAATCGATTTTGACTTTCCTTGAAAATAACATGAATAAAAGGTATTAGGAACCAAAACATTTGAAATGTTAGATGATCTTTTGAAGAGTATTTTAATGCTCATTTAGATGTTATTTATGCATTGGTTTGAATATTTATATTGTGCATTATCGAAAATTACAATGAGATTTAAGCGAAATGCTATGTTGAGACCAAAACAGATTCAAAATGTATCAAAATTATTTCGACTTGTGATTGTATTTCATTCGAAACATGATGATGCTCTGGCAATTAAAGATTTAAAGCGACTCGAATCAATATGCATTTCATACAACATTTTACCAAACGGATTCTCACAAGATCAAAGAGTAACACCATCAAAATGGACTACAGCAAAATCCATCGTTTACATAAGCGTAATGACCGTTCATATCGCACATTTGATATTGTTGAGTGCCTTTGAACTACCCGATGAATGGCATTTTCTTCTGGGTGACTTTTTCTATGGCCATCCAAATAGTCGTTTCTTTTGGATATTCTGTTTGAATGCATCAATTTTTGGTGAAGTATTGAGACACTTTTGGATATTTTTGATGAAAAATGGACACTTGACAACCTTGAAGTTACAACATTTAGCGTATTCAAAAGGATTTAAGAGTCAAGTTTTATTAATGGATCAATATTTTTGCCAAAAATTTTCGTTTTTTGCCACTAACATAGCAATTTTTTGGGTTAGGATATTATTTCTTGCTTCAATTAGTTTCGCACCAATTTTAATCTTCATTTTCAATTCAGTGTCTGCACTACCGAAAACAGGGCAACAGTTTATTTACACTGGCTTTTGGCTTGTCATCAGTTATCTCGGGATCGTTTTTACCATCAGCAACTTAATGTTAACAGGTTGTGTAGCTGCAATTCATTTGTCTTACTTTTACTTTAAAACTGCACATGTAGCCCGAACTGTGCGCGATCTTGCCACGAAAAGAAGCTACACGAACAATGATGACTATTTGCTTAATTACAAAGCTACTGTTTGTGAGATTATCCAATATCAAAAGGAAACTGAACAAGCGAATATTCACTTTAGAAATTGTCTAATATTCTTTTACTTTGGAAATTCTTTCGCTGCCAATTTTGGCGTTTACATTGGAGTTTTTGTACACATTGATCACGGATTCATGGACTTTTTCATTGCGGGCGTTTCTATGATTGGCTTAATAGGCATCGGAGCTTGTTCATACACCAATGGAGCCATATTGACAAAGGTATAGAAGGATTTCTAAGGTTTGCTCTACATTTGATTTATTAAACTTACTTTTATTATTACGAAACCCCTAGACTTTTTGATACCCCTAATAATAGATGAGCTCTTGTTGCAAGAACCTGAGGAAAGTAACCAGATATTTGCAATTAAATGAAGAAGACTTTATAAAGGTAACAGTTTGATGCCTTCTTAAAATATGTAAATTTGATGAACTATCGATTTTTAGGGAACTGATTTAGAAGATCGACTTTCTAGAACTGATATTTCGTTCACTATTGGTAAAGTATTGGATATGACTACTCGAATTTTTGTTATTGCGAGTATCTACTGATTTCTTTGATTGATTCATATTAACTGTACTCTTTCTTTTCATTTCAGTATTTGATTGAAAACATTTGCCTAATTATGATGTTTAAAGTCAACTTTCAATGAACTTTCGTAATTGAAAATTTTGATTAAAATAGTATGATTGAAGGTGTTAAAATTTTCGATATATTGAGGCTCAAAGCTTAAAATTCAATGGTCAAAATAAAAAAATCCGTCAAAAAACCGAAAAGTTATGATTTTTAACAACAATTTTCATCGACTCATTATAAGTTCCAGATCTCTAACTTTTACGGAAGCAGAAAGAGGTAAGTTTGCGTGTAAGTCGAACTAATCTGTTACAGAAGCAGAAAATATTATTTATCGAAATAAAGGCATTTCCTGGTTGGTCATCAAAATAAATATCTGATAAATGAGTTTCATTAAAAATCTGTTCCCATAATTGATTAAAGGGTGATCACATTTCAAATTTGAAGTCAATTTGCCAAAAAACCCTCCACCGAATAGACTGTAAATACTCATTGTCAGTTTTTATGCCCATACAAACTCCAAGGTCAAAATTTTTGTCCATAGTCCTTTCTTAATCATTTTATCATTTTTATAAAAAGATCATTGCCATTGATATTGAAATCATTAATATTTATTAGTACATAGAATGAATTTTGCAAAACGGTAGCAAAAATATTAAACCATTGCTTATTTTCCAATCGTATCATAGCCCATCTTTTGTTGAGTCAGACAATATCCACAAACTTGATTCAAATCAGATTGTTTCTAATGAATTTGTGCTTTTAATCGGATTTACCATTGATATTGACGAACTTTAATTTCTTTTCTTACTAATGCTAAAAATAAGAGAGTTGGCAACTTAAGCTTGCCAACTCCTCAAAAATAGAGTCTTTACCAATTTTTAACCATATCCTTAAAAGGAAGTGAAAAAGATGATGATGAAGACGATGAGGATGAAGAAGACAAGAATAAATAATATATATACAATTTACATAAAATACTAACTCAGTCTTTTCTACTGGCTTTGATGTTTTAAGTAGTTTTAGTTAATTTTTAGTGTATATTAGTCAACAATATTATTAAACCTTTCTTTTTAATAAGTGTAAAAGTATCACTACTTTACTTAAATTCACTCCACTAATATGCGGATATAAATAATCCCATTGTTTGAGACAAAATTCAACTCTTTCCGTTTCAGTTTTTCCCAAATCATCGATATTCAATATCATTGCTGACATCTTTTCTTGGAATGGTTTCCATTTAGTTTCACCAACCATTGGAGGCTCACTGTAAATAAATAATGAATCAAAGTCATTAAATTGATTACTCGATGAAATGAATAGACATACCCATTTTCAGCAAAATGAGTCCAGATTTTCATCATTTCACGACTCAATGAAATATCTTTCTGTGGATAACCAGGCTTTATCAGAGGTAAACCGAAAACATATGGAATATCAGATGAATGAAATGTTCCCATCCATTCGCTCGCAAAAGGAAAATAAGATTTCGGTCTTTGTGTGTGTAAATAAGCATAAACTTTACCATCCTGTTTGCCTAAATTAGAAGCATATTGATGACCAAAGATATAAGTCGGACAAACAAATAAAAGGTCACTGTAAGCTCTTTCAAGTTGAGATCGAAAATAATCTGAGTTGTTAGTTTCTGTGCCAAAGTAGAGTTCACGGAAATAGTCAATTGATGCAGAATCAAAAATACGTTCCAAAAAGGTTGTATTAATAGCTTCTTGAAAAGATATCGGTGCAGGAGAAAAGTAATTGAAGGCTATGGGATCGATACCATTCATGAAAATTGAAGCTTCATTCTTTTCAACGCCCAGTAAAAGGTCAACTGAATTATCGTATAATCCTTCTGCAAGAATTTTGGATGGTTCGTATGGAAAGGAAATCGTTCCCAACTGTGAAGGAAAATGCTACTAATTTATCACCTAAACCGTTTAGAATTTCCTTTGCAGTCAAAGTCTGCATGCATTCAAGAACATCTTCCGAATTTGAACATGATGTTTTGTTGTAAATCTTCCAAGAATCAGTAATCAATGTATGTGGCATAGTCAGGTACAGCATATTTTCGTGAATAACTTTTGCACCGATAGAGATATTTCAAATAGTTTCTCTCATTGTAATCAGCACTTTTTCGGTTGTCATTTGCCTATATGCTCAAAGTGCCAACCTTTACTAGCTATCGTTCTGAAAATAAATTGTCTCAAAATGAAAAATTCGAGAATCGAAGTTTTTCTTCCTACGCCTTTATGGATTCGTTGCAAGGGTGTTTTGACCCTTCTTGGCATTTGGCCAGTTCCGTTTAGTGGCTTTGATGTCTTATTTGTAGAGATAATATAGTTTTATAAAAAATTTGCGATCTTGCCGCTAAGAAACGCCATTTTTCAAAATTCGAATTTTTAACTAGAAACTACCATAAAACTCAACCGATGGCTCGAGAAAAATACCTAAAAAATTTGGTGGCGATAACTATTACAGTTACTGAGAAAAAGCGGGAAATATGCTGTACGTGAGTTTTGCCACACCCGGTATCTAAATCATGGTTTACATAAACTGTTCCTGACTGAAGAATAGCTCGTTTGAAGAGCCCTTTGGAAAGTGGGGACAATAGGTGAGCAGAAACGGACCAAGATCCAGCAGATTCACCGAAAATTGTCACACTATTCGGATCACCACCAAACATTTGAATATTTTCATGAACCCATTTCAAAGCAAATAGTTGATCTTGCAAACCAATATTTGGAGGAACTCGAGGCTCATCGTCTCCGAAGTAGATGAAACCGAATGCATTAAGACGATAATTCATAGTAACAAGTATAACATCATGTAATGGGACCATTGGAATACTTCAGTGTCAGCATTGCCAGATCCTGTTGTAAAAGCTCCTCCATGAATCCAGAATAGTACTGGTCGTAGTCTTTCTGATGAGTTACTAAAAGTTGATTCAGTCACATAGATATTAAGATAAAGACAGTCTTCGCTGGTCCTTTTTACGTTAATTAAACTTGTTGGTTGGAGACAAGCTGGACCAAAGTCAGTCACTGATTTAACCTCAGTCCATGGGTCTGGTTTAACTGGTAGCTGTAACCTCAACTTACCAACCGTTGGCTTCGCATAAGGAATACCAAGAAACTGGTAAACACCAATCGATTCATACTCAGTAACTTTACCTTGGATAGGACCACTAGTCAAATTGACTATTGGCGTTAAATTAAGTCCATGAATGGGCGAAAAAATGAAACAAAACAATAACAAAATATTCATTTTAAATAAGCATTAATCAAACATCATATATCATCTATTTTTATACAGCTACTCAGCAGAAAATTCATGTTATTATCTCAAATAAATCAAAAACTTGTGACTAGGTGCAAAAATCAATAAAGCTTATGAGATTGGTGGGAAACAATAGAATTGCAAATTTATGATTGTTGTGCTGAAAAGATTATGCATCAGAGCTCTGTTTTAGAGAAATCTAATTTTAGTTCCATCCACAGAGGAATTTTAAAAAAAGTTTTTCCTTTCTCCTCTTTCCTCCTTTTTGTTTTTTAACAATTGAGTAGTAGTAAATATACACAAGATAACTCCTCTACACAAGATAACTCCTTTTGATTGAAATTAGATGAATATTTTCGATATTCTTAAATTGGTTCAGGGTCAACCTTGAAGTTTTGCTTACCATTAAATAACTTAATGTTTCAATTGTTTAATAATTTCGTGCACCTTGAGACAGGTTTTGCATCTAATTTATCTAACTGCTTTAATTATCCGACAATTATATTCACCTTGAGACGGGTTATCAACTAATTTACGGTTTTTTAAGAGTTATGTTTTATTGGGACTAAATTTTTTGGCTGTTTTGCTTGAATGATATAGTAATTATATCAACTTTTAAGATGATTATAGTCTAGATTAAGTCTAGTCTAATTGTTCATCATTGACAAGGACACTTATGAGAAAAATGCGGAAACCTAATTTTTACAGTTATGGAACATCAATCGCGTCAAGATTCAAAAATCTACTTGTTGAAAGTGGTTTCTTTTGGACCGGACATGGAAAAATCGTTCAATATGCTTTCTGTCGGCTTGGTACTGAAGGAACTTTGCCTTTTTCACCAAGTATTTGCATGAAATTCTTTCGCCAAACTGTTCATACATAAGAAAAGACGTATATGATATCGAAAAGAGCTTTTGTTGTATTTGTTTAGTCAACAAACTTGACATTTTATATTTGACTTGCCGGCATCTTGCTGTTTGTACTCATTGTGATAAGCATTTATACTTGAAAAAAACAAAAGGATGTCCAATATGCCGTACAAACATTGACAAACGAATTTATGTTATTTCACCTTAAGTATGTTTTGATTGTTATTTGCATATTTTTTTCTTTTTTTTTGTTTTATTCATTGTACATTTATCTAATCTTTTCTTTTCTTTCTTTTCTTTTTTTTCTTTTTTTCAGCACGGAAAACATTCCAAAGAAAATCATTAAAAAAAAGCAACCGTTGCATAAAAAAATCCTACACTTACTAACAATGGTAAGAGAGAATAAATACATCTATGGAGAATCGTTGAAGGAAATGAAGAAGATATTGAACAACGTTCTAGATTCATCTTTGTTAAAAAAGGAATGTCGCCGTGAGTGCTGCAACGTTGTTGATACACTGGTGGAGATGTCAGCTGATGCTTTCTTCGTGACCAAGGATCATTTGCAGCTGCAGGATGATCTTCTCTCCCTTTTTCTTTGTATTGTTGATAATTGATAATAATCATTTTAATCAATGTTTCTTAGTGTTGTTATCTTTTTTCCAGTTTATAATATATTTGTTATATTTTTATGTTTTTTGTTATCATTTACTGTTTTTTCATATTTTTTATTTGTTCAATGATATTATGTTTTCATTGTTATTTTTTTATTTTTTCGTATCTTTTTTATATCTTTCTTTTCATTTTGTTTTTAAATAAATGTTTTTTGTTTGTAAATTTTGAATCATTTTTATCGCGTATATAACGTATACAGGTCAAAGGTATGCCTGGTTGCAAAGTTATTGGCGTTCAACATCTTACTAAGTAGCTGAATAGACCTGTATAAGAAATGTGCTTTTGAAAAAAGTTGCAATCAATCTTGCAGAATCTCAAACTCAACATGGAAATCTTGGTTGATGTATTTAGATGGGCACCAAGCAAACAAAGATATCTTGTTATACTTGGATAGTGAGAAGCTACGTGTTTTGAAACCTTGTTTCACAAAAAGACTTTTCAATTGTTTTCCCAACAGTTTTTTTACTAAAAGTTTGAAAGGATCTTTGATTGGTCCTGTTAGAAGACAGGAAAATAATTTATTTATCCTGAAAGGTAAGTTTCTTGATTTTTAGAATTTCAAGCTGACTAATTTCTTTTAAACAGAACGAGTTGATTCTTATTATTGTGACGTCATCCTTCACTTTTTCTGGACTGGTTGCATTTCTCATCAGAAACTATCAATGGGCGAGAAAATTGAACTGGCTTATGCGTTGGATTTCTTTGGTATTAGGTTGAATGAATATTCATCAAAGTATGACTCAATTTATCAACTTAGAAAAGAAATCATCATGCATTATAAAGAAATTTCACATGGTCCTACAAACGTATTTGATAACGTATTTGATTCCAGATCTACAACATGAATTGAAAACTGACTCTTAGCGTAAGTATGGTCTAATGTATCATTGTTTTCGCTTGATATCATGTTAACTTGTCCCACAATTATTCTGATAATTACACATTTGTATCAAATTTGCTGAGTGTGCAAGGAGCTCAAGTATAATTCATGTGACAAAAAAAGGCCATGGAGGCGTAATAGATCCTGACTACACGGGTGAAATCAAAGTTATTCTTCACAATTGTTCGGATAGACATTTCATCATAAATAAAGATATGAAAATTGCGCAGTTGATTGTTGAAAAGGCGGAATTTCCAGAATTAATAGAGGTGGAACACATAGTTGATTGTAGTGAGCGTGGAGAGAAGGGGATTCGGATCTGCTGGACTTTAGGTATAAAAAAAGAACCCTATCAAACTTTTCTTCATTCAGTTTTTACTTTCCGACTTGTGCTCAACATGAACTCAAACAGTGAACAGATGTGAGCAGTAAAATCTATTCTAGAGCAAGAGGTTAGGATCAACGTAGAAGGTGGAAACGTTGCTACAGACGCGTTATGAATGCAGACAGTGTTGGACTTATGTTCGATGAACGTTTGGAGAAGTAAGATTGAAGACTGCGAAACTCACGATCAAAAATGATGGATACAAGTAAGAATACTTTGTGATCTCGAAAGTTTAAGCACAAGTATCAAAAAGCTCAAGATTCAAGAAAGAGGAATGATAATCTTAAAAACGATACAATATGGAACACAAATACAAAAATTTAACTGTAGAGCAAAGTTTTCGCACAAGAAAAGACAGTTAACTTTGTTCAAAATGAAGACTGAAGACAAATTCAATTTGTTTTTATACTTTTACCACAAGGACAGGTTGTTTTGTTACAATGTTTCAATTTCTGTATTGATAATTACTTAGTTAATTATTTTGTTTAATTAATTGTAAATACACAACCATCATTAATTACTCAATTTCGGTAAAGCTGTCTGAAGGACAATCATAACTGTAAAAATTAGGTTTCCGCATTTTTCTCATAAGTGTCCTTGTCAATGATGAACAATTAGACTAGACTTAATCTAGACTATAATCATCTTAAAAGTTGATATAATTACTATATCATTCAAGCAAAACAGCCAAAAAATTTAGTCCCAATAAAACATAACTCTTAAAAACCGTAAATTAGTTGATAACCCGTCTCAAGGTGAATATAATTGTCGGATAATTAAAGCAGTTATTTAAATTAGATGCAAAACCTGTCTCAAGGTGCACGAAATTATTAAACAATTGAAACATTAAGTTATTTAATGGTAAGCAAAACTTCAAGGTTGACCCTGAACCAATTTAAGAATATCGAAAATATTCATCTAATTTCAATCAAAAGGAGTTATCTTGTGTAGAGGAGTTATATTGTGTAGAGGAGTTATCTTGTGTATATTTACTACTACTAATTGATGACTGCAATCCCTAAAACTATCTCGATGAAATGAGCATTTGCATCTTTACGCATACTTTTGATGGCAAAACTTGCGAATTGTGTATGATGTTGGAATTTTCTTTAGTCCAGACCATTAGATTAGATCGTTAAAAACCAAAAGAGGTTCATATCACACAGATTCTACCATCCAACGATCATCGAATATTTATCTATTTTATTTTTTAGACTTCCAATTGCGTTTTCCATGATAAGGTATGACTTGTAAAGTTTTGGATAAATTTTTCAGCATTGATTTGAGACAGTTAGACTAGACTCACAGGCACTATTAAATAGTGAAATCCAAGGTGAACTTCTCCCGAATACGTTGTGAAAACTTAAGCAATTTTGATAAAAAATTACTAAGTTATGGTTTTAAATGAACAAAGGCGTCAAAATCTGATTTTCCCTTTCGTTAAAAACCTTTCGTTATTTTCAACTTCATACCAGGGTATAAAAGAATCGAAAAATGCCGAAATACCGAGTGACCTCAATAGTAGTACAGATACACAAGATAACTCATACACAAGATAACCCACTTTTAATTGAATTTTTATTAATAAAATTGACAAAGGTTATTGATTGAATTGAATAAATATGATAATTATACATGCTAACTTCAGTCCTGATTGTCACTTCATTTGCTGGCGTGATAACAGCCTTATTATTATAGCGAGGCGTGTGAATATTATGGTAATCCAAAAGAAAATCTCGAATTGAATTACAGTGCTCCTTTAACAGTAGTAGTACAGTTACACAAGATAACTCACTTTTAATCGATATTTTATTAATAAAATTGACCAAAGGTTATTGATGATGAGTTGAATAAATATGATAATTAATGCGGAACTATTTTTGAAATTTGTGAAACAATTATGTGAGTTCAAGTTTAAGGTTAATTGTTTGAAATTAGTTTATGTATGTATAACATGAAAGTTTTATTGCTTTGATGATTAACGTCGGGGATTAAATAATGATACTTTTGCACCAAATAAAGTAAGTTTAGCTAATTTTTTACGTTATTCTTGGGTAAACAAATGTATCAATTTTAAGATATACAATAAACGCAGATGATAACAGTGTACCTGCAGGTATATTCTATGTTCA